GGGGCTGAGGCACCCGGCTTGCTGGGATGGAAGCCTGTTTCTGTCCCAGGACTCACAAGTGACTGGTGTGTGCCCAGGTGGTGGCGTCATCTTTACGCAACTGGCCGCTGAATTCAGACTTGACACGAGCAAGATGGAAATTGCTGCCTGTGCGCCCCTTGCTGTGGCTCGTTTCCTAAGGGGGAGCACTCCTCTGACCCACGCCCTGGGGGTTGGAAAGTCTCACCACCCACGAGTGTGTGTTTCTCTTAAGTGAGAGCGGAGGGGCTCACCTCCAGATCCTACTCTCTAGCGTCACCTCCTCAGGTTTGGCTCAGGCCTTGCCTCTTCTGCGAGGTCCACCCTGACTCCGGTTAGTGCTGCAGCCGGACCCCCACGCCAGGCCCTCGCCCTGTTGGACGGCCTTTGTCCGTTGCACTGACCGCCATCTGATACACCACACAGTCATCGTTTATGGTTAGGCGGCGTGAGCCCTGGCGGGGAGGCCTCGCCCACGTGCCTGGGGGTGGCCTTGCGTGTGCTCACTGTTCACCTCGGATGCTGCCATTGAGCATGTGAAAAGCCTGTGCTGTTTGCAGGTGTGAGTCTGCGGGGTGCTGTTTCCCGCGCAGCCTGGGCGGTGAGCAGGCTCCTGTCCCGAAGGCCCCACCTGGCCGTAAGGCTGAGATGGGGGAGGCGGCTCGAGGTCGGCCCGGTTGCTCTCGATCATAAACCCATTCTGAAGGGGAACTTTGCTCAGTACTTGAGCAGCTTTATGACTTGACTTCAGCTCCGTCGCTTCTCTGCCATCTGCCCGTGCAGTTACTTTAACCAAAGCTGTGTATAGGGTGAAAAACCCACATGGGAAATCTGTGGGAATGTGATAATGTGTGTGCTTTAGTTTGCTGTTTGTTTGCTTTGTTTTTGTTCTTCAAAAATAAGATTAAGGGGGGAAAGATTTGTGGAGGAATCGTCCAAAGCTTCCCCAGAGCCCCTGGTATGAACTTTATTCTTTGACCAAGAGCTTTTGTTATAAACTAACTGTTTCAATTAGTGCATTATTGCATTTTCCATCAGTCTGGCCCAAAGCTGTGAGGCAAGAGGCTGTGGGACGTGTTTCGGCACTTTCGCCGTGACGTGGAAGCAGGGAGAGAGAAGGGCTTCCCGTGCTCTGTGCCTTCATAACGTTTCCTGATCAGCGTTCTCTTCCGTACTGTTCCTGTCCACTTACCCCGGAATATATTTTTCTAGTGCCTGCTGCGTATTTACTATTATTTCTGATTCTTCCCTCTCTGTTCTCTGAGGTTAATTGCCAATGGACAATTAATGGACAGCACAGTGTGTTCAAGTTAATGAGAAACCCAAAGGGTGTTTCTTTGAAGTTACTCTTCTCCCTCACAGGGAGGGGCTCATGAAATTGTTTTAAACTAGGCACTTCGATGATAATTGAATTTCAAATGCAGATTAAAGTGGTGAGGGAACTTTATGTAATTTCTTCTTTGGAGTGGGGAAGTTGGTTCTTTTTTTTTTTCACTTTGCAACAATTACAATGTTGATTCTCAGTCATTGGCAAATAAAGAGCTGGGTGAGAAGACTGGGTGGACTGATTTGCACGAAAATGCACCCGATGCATCTGCGGCTCCATGGAGACTCTGCTGCTTGTGAATGCTCCTTTGGTGTGGGAGGCAGACCCTGGGGGCGTGGTCGGGAAACAATAGTTTGGCACTTTTCCCCCCAGATCAGTTCAAATGCCTGAATTAACTGAGAGTCAGGGAATCAACATGGACTTGCTCTAAGACTTGTTGGCTCTATGAAAAGTCTGATGTTCATAGTGGCCCAGTGAAAATGGGGAACACATTTGCTTCACCTTGACTTTCGGAGAGGAAAATCTGTGCTATTTTTTGAACTCCAGAGAGGAGAAACTTCTGATATGTTGGAGAGAGAAGTGGACACATGAGCCCAGAGGCAGAGAGGGTGGCGTGCTCGCCTGCAAGCGGGGACTGCTCTTAGCTTCTCTCTCTGCACCCGTCACTGGTGGCGCTCAGCCTCAAAGATTAGGTTTTACTGGGAGATTCTCAGGTTCAAGGTCTGCTAATGGTTTGTAACTGCCTGACAATAAGCCCAGCCCCAGAGTTACATCAGACCAGACAGATGTCTGAGGACTCGAGACGGAGCCAGAAAGTTAGCTCTGGAGCAGACAGCTGCAGCTTGGCACCTGCCTGCTGGACTGAGCTTTCAGTGTGATTTGAATTTCTCAGTCCTATGTAGGCATCCTGGAGATGGTGATCTTCACTAATGCAAAGATCAAGTCTTTAATTAAACTTTTTAAGAAGAAAAGTAAGTAGTTTCTCTTCTCCGCACTTGTGTGTATGTGTGTGTATATGTACTCCTTCTGGAATTAGTGTGTGAAACAGTGTAATGAGAACAAGGTAACTCCATTCCCTACCAAGTCCTTCAAATACCTTCGACTTTTGTAACTCTAGGGCAGAATCATGTGATCTTAGCACTTCTTACTTATTTACGGTTGGGATTTTAGGCAAATTCACTTCTTCTGTGCTTCTCAAAAGAAGCCCTTTGAAGAAGAGGAAAAAGCCTTGTGATTTTGTCCACCTTGATGTGGTTTTGATTCTTTGGCTCCGTGTGCTGGGAGCCACTGTGTGGTCCATGACATATTTTTGGTGGGGACGATCCTCTGAAGCTCTGTTAGGTATTTTAGAGCTGTGTCTAGACTGATCCGTCACTGTCATAAAGAACACAGCGTTTGTGGTGTGACTTCACTGCCTATTTACCAGTGGCTTAAACGTCTCTGATCCAGTGCTTCTTCACTCCCTGGAAAGTATAATTTTTACAATATGTGGTTTTGTTTTTACATGGTTGTTGGTTGGGTTTAGTTCTATTTCTGGAGCAGTGATTCGAACTGGGTAAGTGTGGATGCAGCGCTGGTGAGGGCAACTTTGGAGTAGGCAACAAAGAACGGCGTGCCGGCTCGTGGCCCGCGGCTGCCTGGTTCGCAGCTGCTGTGGGTGGACTGATGAAAGTCTGCGGGACAGGAGTCAGATACAGTGGGGAAACACTGCACTTTCACAGAGCCAGTGGGTAGCTGTGCAGTGGGGCCGACGGTGCCGTTACGCAGATGCAAACTCCATTACTGGGATTTGATTCATAACTGGCAAATAGGAAGAGTTTGAATTTTCAATATTTTCTAACTATGAAGTACAGTGATTCAATCTTTCAGATAAGCGGATGTCAGCACAAAACATCGTAGCAATTTCTCTTTGAGGGATATGGTGAGTTCCGCACTGTGCCGGATTCTCAGACACGGAAGTAAGAGCCGAGTCAGATTTTTGTGGATTCACGTATGAAGACTGATAGTCACACGCGCCACGCAGAACGTCTGTTCAACGAGAGAGTGTGTGAAATGCCAGGTGCCCGCTTTACATGCTACTTTTGTCAGACCATAAAAGCAGGAAGCACACAGGACATTTCTGTGTTTAACTCAATGTCTAGTTCTCCATGTTTATTTTCCCATTTAGCAATTCATGGAGAAGGTGGGGTCGTCTAAGAGATGAATTACTTGGAGGTGAGGATTGTAGGATTTAGTGGCTGCAGATAAAATGGCACGTGAGCTGAGCGCTGATCTGTGGCTTGGGTTCCCATGGCACTGGGAAAGGCCACGTTTCCTTCAGTGGTGGTTGTGAAGTCGGGCAGAAATCTAAAGTTAGAGCAATTTCACTGCCCCACAACAGCCATTCTTCACGTGAGTGATTTCGCGAGCTGAGACTTTGCCTGTGTTCGTTCATTTGATCTTTATAAGAAGTAGCTCTGATAGCTGTGCTGTGGGGCTCACTGAGTTAATTTTAAATGTGTTCAAATAGGTTCAATAGTTCATTGTGCCTGTTCACTTTACTTTGGGAATCTACTCTGTGGTCTGGTTTCCGGGGCCTTGTTATGTTGTAAAGATGGGTGTGCCCAGGGCGCCCCCCGCAGAGGCTGGGCTTGGGGAAGACTCTCCCCTGACTCGCCCGGTGGCGTCAGACCTGTTCCACCAGCAGACCCTCAGCACAGGGTCTCTCTCCTCTGCTTCTGTAGTCTCTCCCACACTCGCTCACAGCGGCGGATCTATAGAAAGTGTTAAAAAATGTTGTTGATGAATTTGTTGCTGTCAGCTTCATCTGGTGTCCCGTCTTAGGTTGTGTTGTCAGGAAAAATGGAACAGAATAATAAATAAATAACTGAAATAGGGGGACGAAGGAAGATTATTATTATGACTGTCTAACATCATCTGGTGTTCTCATCTCCTTTGGTTGGCAAAATTCAATTCAATTGGGCTGTGTTGGAGAAAGTCAAGTGTATTGAATTTTCTTTTTTAGCACTTTCGTATAAAAGCCTTCCATGAAAGCAAGAAATACAGAGAAAATTTTGTACACAAATTGATTTCCATTTCTTAGATATGTCATTTAAGTGTATTACATTGAATGTTTATGCTTAATTTTTTTATTGTGTTCATAATAGTTTACATCATTGTGAAATTTCAGTTGTACTTAATTTTTTAAAAATCTAACTGAGTTTATAAAAGTGATGTTCTGAAATAGGGCTTTAAAGGTGAAGCTTTGGTCTCGACCTCTCGGTGGGAGATTTGTTTCTGTCTTGACAGTCTAACGTTTATGGATGCAGCGGCCTTGTCTGGTTGCCTAACGTTTGTCGTGGTGGTGAAGCAAAGTAGGGCTGGAGGCCTCTGTCAGTGTCACGAGTCATTTCTAACGCTGGAGTCGAGGAATGGCCTAAAATTTGGGAAGCAATTAACTGAAGAGACAATTCTGCCGAGACATTGTGGGGGATGATGGACAGTTTCCTTTAGAGAAAAACCACATGGGGAGGACCCCTGGAGTCTAAGATTAAATCTCCTTCAGAACTTGCTCGTTTCCCCCGGAGGTGGTGGCACCGAGCACCCCTCAGTGTAATCCATGTGGAGCCAGTGAAGTTCAACCTGACACCTGGATTTGCTCCCTCTCTTTCTGCAGCGGTTTCCAACCTAGACGAGGAGAGCAGATGGACAGTCCACTACACTGCTCCCTGGCACCAGCAGGAGAACGTGTTCCTGCCCAGCACGAGACCCCCCTGTGTGGAGGACCTGCACCGCCAGGCCAAGCTCAACCTCAAGTCAGTGCTGAGGGGTAAGAGCGCGTCCTGCAAGCTGGTTGTTCCTGGTCACTGGCTGTTAGAGTTGATTGCTACTTGTGAAAGAAGACCTACTTGTAATGAATGTATAGGACGCTGTTTCCTTATAAGATGCCATGCATGCTCACGTCCCGATACACGCCCAGTGTGTTCTGGCCTCTGTAGAAACCTGCCTGTTCACAGAAGGGCAGCTCTGTTCTCTGGGAGCCCCTCTCAGCGCCTCGAGCGTGTTTGAACCTCCAGTGCCGACTTAGTCCTAATGAGCCCCTGCTGACATGGGGATTCTGCCTCTGCCTTTTTTAAGCCATTGTATATATTCAAAGCAAATTTGTTAAAGCTAATGCTTTCTAATGGGTTTTTCTCGTTGGTTCAAGTTGGGTGGAAAGGGGGCTGCATGTGGACTTTGAAGGATGCATGTGGTTTGACTCATCGGAACATGGGCAGTACCCACCTGGGCTCCCGTGAGGGAAGGTCTTTTGCCGACGGCAGTGCCCTGTGGTCAGCAGGAAATACAGACTATCTAGTGTAAAGTTCTTATTTCACTGCAACTTATTGTCGATGTTGAGAAGTGTCCATGTGTGGCGAGGAGGGCTTCCTAAAAGTGATGAAGAGGGAGGAAGTTCTTTAAAGGAGGGAGTGACTTTAAGATTCAGAGACTTTTTCTTGAAACAGCAAACCAATGTTCTTACTCTACCAGAGCTGTTCTACCAGTTTCCTCCTACCGTGCAGTATTTGGGACATAATTTTGCTAAAAAAGTACTTGTTTTTTATCTGGAATTTTATTTAACTGGGTGTCCTGTATCTTATCTAGTTGTAAAAGCCTTAAATCTGGAAGAAGTCTGTCGTGAGGAGCCCTCTAAGCTTTATGATAGTTTTATTGTCAGTCGTTTATTTGGTGATCACTCACTGCTGTGCCATTAGCATGGCAACCACGACCCCAGCTAATGTCTAACAAGCACTTGCCATCTGCCACGTGCAGGGCTGAGCCCATTGCACGTGTTATCTCATTGCTCCTCACAGCAATCCTGCTGCTCGCTATTGCTGTGCCGTTTTACAGATGGCGAAATGGAGGCACAGAGACTAGGAACTTGCCTGAGATCTCCAGGCAGCGAGCGGCAGAACCAGGATTCACATGGATGTCTGGGCTGCGGCTCTCGGAGCCACTGCACAGCTCTGCCTCTCACAGCCGTTTGCTGGAAGTGTGGCTCTGGTGGAAGTGCAGAACACAAAGGCAGGGGCTTGGGCCTACAGGAGTTTATCCTTGTGTCTGTCCTGCAGACTGCCATGCGAAAAACAGTCCAGAGACGTGCCAGAAGTTACTGCATGGGAAATAGAGCAGACCCTTTCTTCTTAGAGGAAGAAGGAAAGCTATTGATAGACCACGACAGATCTGGTGTTCTGGAGAGAACTGTACCAACAACTTAGATCGGAGCCCTGTTCTTTTACTTCAGTCTTTACTCCCCTTAGGTAATCTTATGTGTGTCTTACAGCATCTTGTGTCTTACAGTCTCGGCCTTGGCCCTTCAGAAATGAGGACGCTCTTGGGTCCCCTTTTTCATTCAACCTGAGTAATCGCTCTATTTTGTGACTTCAGCTTAACTGAGAAGAGTCACGTTAGTTGGGCTCTTTTGTCTGGCCTTGGAGTTGTGCTTTGACCTCTGTTGCCCCAGGATGAACCTAAATCCGACCAAAATTTCTCCCAGATCTCCTCAGTGCCTAGAGATTTATCTTCAGTAAGTTTTGACAAGGAGCCTCTTACGTAGAGCTCACTGTCCTCCACCAAATAACTAATAAGAGCATTAAATGGCGTGGTTCCCAGAACAAACCCCCGAGGCAGGGCCATTGTTAGCATTCTCTCTGAGCTCTGAGCCACTCAGCGTGGTCTGGCTCGTAGAGAACCTCCTGGAAGGTATGTGCGACTTTGAATGCTCAGGTCCAGCCTTTTCTGTCACTCTCCAGGAAACTGTGCTTCACTGCCTCGTTCTTGTGTTTTCAAGGACCAGATCAGAGCTTCTCTTTTCTTTAGAAAACTGAACATCTGTATATAGATCTTTCTGATTTTATTTTCTTCTTGACTCTTCAGTAGATCCATAAGAAATATCATCACCACTGGTTTTGCCTGCACTTGAATTTTATTTTGAAAAAGTAAATGCTTTAGTAATTGTTTTAATGCCCTAAAATGGCTCGTCAAAGGGATTTACTATTAATAAAATGAATAACTTTGGAAAATTCTTGGAGCTCAATTTTGCCTAGATTTAATTACTCCTTAAGAGATTTTAGACAGCAATAACTTTAAGAACAGCAGATGAGAAAGATGAAATGAGAATGAGCGTCTGAGTTCTTTGGTTCTCCATTTATTTGCTTTTAATCACATGTGCAGAACTTCACGTCCCGCTTCCCCCACACCACGTCAGCCGCCTGAGATAAACACAGTGTGCAGCAGAGCCTTTATTGCCTCATTATCGGCGAAGATTACAAAGAAAAGCTTCGGTCCCTGAATACGTGGCCCTGTTGAGGTTATTATGTTATAAAAGGCCATCAGTCTAACTTAGTTTGACCTCAACATTCTTTGCTTAAAAATATAGAAAAGTGGCTAACTGTTCACAGTGAGTGATCTGCTCTGCCCCTTCTTCTCTTGCTGTGACCTTGTCCACAGTCGTGAGGGAGGAGGACTGACCCTTAGTGTGAGACAGGTTGCTGCTTCTTCAGAGTCATCCAGTGCTCATGGTGTGAATGGTTCTGTCAGTCTTTCTTGGGAGCTCAGCTCCCCTCTCAACGATTGTAAAATATGGAAGGAGATGACGCAGTGATACTAGTAAGTACATAACTAGGTGCTGGAGACATTTGCTTATTAAAGTCGTGCAGAAATGCTTAGTGGTCATGAGAGTGATTGAGGAAGGCACGGACTTACTGAAAAGTGTTTTTGTGAAAAAGCTAGGTTTGAGTCAGTACATAAAGGCAGATAATAGACACAATTAATAGGTATCTGAGCATCGGTTCTGTGCTTGCTGGGAGTTTTTAAATGAATGGGTGAAAGCTCAAGCTGAGCTTGCTGTCTTTTGTCAAGACTGCAGTAAAGAGACAACGGTGTGGTGGAGACATGCGTGAGGCACTGAGGGCCCACGGGTAGGGGCCCGGCCAGCAGAGAGAGGCACTGGAGAGCCCACTCCGCCACCCCCACTGGAGAGGAGGCGGCCCCCACAGTGTGCAGTGCAGTTTCGCTCTGTTCTGGTCCAAAGAGAGCAGAGATCTTTGCTGTCTGTTTTATATTTGCCTCTGGAGAATTTCATAGAGTTTGGTGACCATGCTCCTAGGTCGAATGACTTGGTTTTGTTGATTTATTTTGTTACTAGAGATTTAGGTAGTAATTTGCTGTTAATGACAATACAAACATGCACCTGGATTTAGAAATGGTATTTTGATATTTGGTTCAACAGACATCTAGCTGGCAATGAATAGTGAATTTCTGAAGATGATTCCGAAATCTCATTATCTATAAAGAATTCACTCAGCTTTTTACTGAATTTCCAGAAGAATTATACTCTTTTAATCTTGAGTTTAAGTTACTTAAAGTAACTTAAGTTAATTAAAAAGAATTATACTCTTTTTAATCTTGAGTTTACGTTACTTGAACCCTAATGACGAATAATGTTTGTTTTATGTGGATAGTTCTTTTTCTTTTTTTAGTGAGGAAGATTGTCCCTGAGCTAACATCTCTGCCAATTTTCCTCTATTTTGTATGTGGGACACTGCCACAGCGTGGCTTGATGAGCATTGTGTAGGTCCACGCCTGGGATCTGAACCTGTGAACCCCGGGCCGCCAAAGCAGAGAGCATGAACTTAACCACTGCACCACTGGACCAGGCGTCTATCTGGATAGTTCTTAGCTTTATTTAAAGGGGCTCAATTAGTGGAAAAGGGGAATTGGGGCAGGGGGTGGGTGCTGGAGATCAGTGAGAGGTTTGGATTTTGTTTCTTTACAACTGTAGACCTCATTTGAAAATTATGAGCATATTAAAGGCTGAAATAAAGATGTTATTTTCAAGGCTCCATCCCCAAAAAGCCCAGTTTGGAAGAGAGAGAAACATAGTTTCTCACAGCATGTGTAACCGGCAACTTAGTTACTGTGTCCCTTACACTCCCACCCGAGTTAGTTCACAGCCGTCTGGTGTTGTATCAGAAACGGGCTCCACGCAGCTCGTGCTGGAAGAAGAACATTTTAGCAGGTTGGCCTGCTGGGGCTCCAGAATTAGAAGTGTGAGTGCAGCGAGGGGTGTGGAATCTGGCTGTGTGAATTCAGTCAGAAGGTTACAGTTACTGTATCTGGAGGGGTGAGTGGAGGATTTACAGTGTGAAGAAATGACTGTTTATACAAGGTGACTAAAAACAGTGGTTTTCGTGTGTGTCTGCAGACCACCCTGTTCAACACTGAAGAGTGTTCGCATTTCCTAAAACTGGACTAGCTTCTAGGCAGCGCCAGCCAGGCTTCTCTGTCAGTTCTGTCAGTTCTCAGACTTAGTAAGAGCCGCTGCATCTGTCCTTCATTGTCTAAAGCCTCCTGTCCCCTCGACTTAGGCCAGTCAGTCTGTTCTGGGAAGGCTGTGGGTTCTCACTGGGTGTGATGAGGGCCCGTGCCATTGCGTCTGCTGCCTGGGGCACACGGGTCCCGGGACAGCCCAGGTGCCCTGTGGTGGCGATCAAGTCTCCTTTTGGGGGCCTGTGGCACTTCTCACAGGAGCATGGGTGCTGCCTTTGAGGCGTGGCCTCATGGTGCCGACCGAGGGCTCCTATGTTTGGCGTGAACGACGCATCTGCTCACCTCAGACTCTAGGTGGGCATCTGCTTTGCCCTCCTGTGTGATGACACTGAGTTCTTCTGGCTTTTTCTCTTCTGTTACTTTTTAAAAGTTATGACATGTAACACAGACAAATACATAAAACATATGCAGGTTAACAGATAGTTATAAAGCACACGTCTCTGGAACCACTACCTGGGC